TCTCTTCGCTGCCGATTGGTGTTCGCGGATGCGTGTGGAGACGTATCTTCCTGTTTGACCACAATATGCAGTATCACAACCTCCACACGGGATTTTGTAGATGGCTCCTTTTTTATTTAGGTAGCTGACCATATCCTTGGGGTGTACTAGCTGGGTGCGTAAAGTAGCCATCGGTTTGTGGCCAAACAGGAAGATCCGTCTCCACGCGCCTCCGCGAACACCAATCGGCCGTTAATAGACATGATCGTTTTCCCAAAGTGACCATGCATTGCCTCGACACAGGACACACCTTTGCATGGGATAAAACACGCATCGTCAGAGTTTGCCACTCCAAAAATGGCCGAGAATTCCTCGAAGCCATGCATTCCGACGATTCATGCATTAACCGGCACGTCGAGTTGGAAAATACAGAGGCCACAGAACAGAGACCAACTGAGACCAAACCTACCAGTCACGTCTCACTTTGTATAACTATTGATTTTTTCGGCAGTTTTTAAATTTTAGTTGTTCATTGCACATTTCCTGTTAGTCGAAAGAAGAGTTGGGGCGGCAAACTTGAAAATTCGCTCATTAAAGTTATTTTATCCCAAAGGAACATCTTCAAATTTAAATTTCTTGGGATGCGCGTGTTCCAGTTTATACGAATGAAAATACAAATCGTTCCGGTGTTCAACTATCTGTCTTCTTTACCGATAAACTAAAGAGTACACGCTGCGCACGAACTGTCGGCACCATGAAGACAGTGTCCTCATAAAAAAAATAAGAAAGTAATCCTATGTCAAGAAACAGTATTTGAAAAACAAAACAGGCGCAGACTTGAGAACTCACCCTTTTGGAGGGTTCGTTGAGTCCGGAAGACCCTCGGGCTGCAGTACTTGCAAGCGCATGAAATCCACGCGTTTGAAAACAGGATGTTGCTGTTCTTTTGCGCTGTACGCCATGGTGGATTGCGACAAGCCACGTCACTCTGGTCGGGTACCTAGAGGAGCAAAGGCATTTATCAAGCCAAACAGCCATCCATAAAGTGCTCGGTAGTAGTAACAGGCAGTAGATATGTGTTAATGATCTACGCAAGAGTCAACCGCACCTGGCAGGTCTGCAACTCCACAATGTACTCTGAGAAGCCGTGAAGGTTCCTCAGGGTGTAGGTGAGGGCTTTCGTTGAGTCAGCATCGGAGAACTCTGTCGTCGCCCCGGCCGCAGTAGACTCGTCCTCTGCAGCGTGAGCTTGACCCTCCCGGGGATGAACCACTGGTACTACCACCAGACCAACTTTCTCTTCGCCTACGTGTGTACAGTTGCCCACTAGAAAAGAAAGAACACACGGTAGAGGCAAAACGAGGCAGAAAAAAACGAACGTATGCAATTGATCAATCTCTGTGTGGCCTGTTTGTCTCGCCCGGTGGGGTTACTGTTAGGAGTCTAGCCTAGCCGAATGCCAGCAACCTTGTAGGCTCTCTTGAG